GGAGGGGATAACTTGCTCTATGCCCTAGTTTCTAGTTCCAGTTGCACGTTTAGTTCTGAGTTCAATGTTGCTAAACAGTGATGTATACTTAATCTTAAACCTAGCCTACAGTCACATAAGATGCTCAGCTATAACATAACTCGGATAGTTTCTATGTTATACACATACTCTACTGAATCAACAGAACCTCTAGAGCCAAATAGTTTGCTTGGACATTCTTCCCTACTTGATAACAGTTCCTCAGACCAATACCAAGGAGGAGGACTGATGGTATTGAAACTACCCAAAGCATCTCAGACATCACCACAACATGTATCAGACATCTAATCCACCACTTTAAACATTCCCTCCACTACCAGTGCTCAGTAATGGTAGTAGGCAGCCTTTACAAACAGTAAAACAGCACTCACTAAGGTTATTTAAACAGCATCTTCCTACGTGAGAACTGCACCAACTAGAAGAACAGAAAGTCTGCCTCATACACAACTGTGACTTTGAATCCTATCACCATTCCTTCACTATCGCTGGAACTCCCTCCCTAACAACACTGTAAGAGCACCTACAACCCAGGGTCTGTAGTGGTTTGAGAAAGTGGCACATCACATTTTCACTGGAAATGGGCAGTAAATAGTGGTCTTGTCCACAACATCCATATTCTACAAATGAAGATGAAAATGCTTTCTGGTTACTTGTTGATTAACTTTTCCCAGTTTTAAGTCCAGTGTAGGAGTTTTTGAATGTTTAATGATGTTGACATCTCCAGGCAGTGGTGGGAACATGCTAAGAGATTTGGTTTGCACTTCATGGATTATGCTCATTCCACTTGCTCTCAGCAATGGGTGCACTAGTCATATTTCCCCTGGAACACAACACGATGTGGAGAATGAATAGAGGTCACACAGAAGAGAGTGTGGGAGTTCGGTGGAGAGGGAAGGCCCTCAGCAAGAGAGTATATCTACCCAAGCTGCTTAGGAAGAAATTCTCTAACCTCAACTTCAGCAAGAGATATGAAAGGATCCCTAACTAAAATATACCATTTGCTACAACCTCAGAGCAAGATGAAGACAGCATTGCCAGTGGCTGTAAAGAGAAGTCTGACCATGAACTTTTATATGTCTGGTTTGTCCTGGTGGTTTGAATGCAGCTGGCACAATTTAGCAAAGCCATAAAATGCAAATAAAACACTGTGATCCATTCCAGGGCAGTGGAATTCAAAAGCAGAGAAGTTATGTTAAACTCACACAGAACATTAGTTAGAACACACTTGGAATGCTCTGTTGAGTTCTTATCCGATTATAGAAAAGGTAAAGGAAGTTCTAGAGAAGGTGAAAAATAAGCATGATCAGGA